AACCTACCATGTCCATGGGCTCCATGATCCTGAGGGAACCAATTATTGGTCACCAGCTACCATGGCACTATATCTCCTGGCGTTGCTCCACTACCTTGTAGATCAGACGTTTAGATCGAAGGCTCTGGGTGTGGCCTCCTAAGAAAACCACCTACTTTGGTTTAGGAATCCGGGCAGTATCATAGCCTAAACAAATACCATGTGACTTGTGTGGTACATATGTATGCGGTGCCCGCTTTTGTACCAATATTTATGTGTTCAAATAAATGCTAATATTCATGACAGTGATTATTAGTGATTTGTGCATCTAACAGTTCAACTCTCCATATGGATTAACATATATATATATATATATATATATATATATATATATATATATATATATATAGGTCATGGTGGAGAAGATTTGTAGCTCAGGTGGATGATTTTGCTGGAGTTTTGTTCTCTGAGCTGAATAGTTTGGTCGTGGAGCTTTCATCGTTCTTCTGAACGACATCATCAGCAAAAACTTCAGAGTTCATAGCAAGTGTTTACTTTCAACTCGAATACTAGAACATATTCCAAGGTGGTTTCACAAAAGATGCAAGGTAAACATTTCAAATCTCCATTCTTAAATATTTTATCCATTCCAATCACTTCAATAATCTATCAATAGACTTAAAGTTTAATTATACAAATCATTCAAATCTATCAAGATCCCTTCGTAACTAACATGTTGAAACGGAGAAATCTCTTGTTATTCATTAAACGAACAGTGAATTGTATAGATACAAAAGAAATACATCTCATTCTTATCCTTCTCATGGCGTAAAATTGTTATTATTATAATATTTTATTTCTATTATGAAAATCTCTTTTGATCTCTAGAATTATCTCTCATATCTTCCCTGACTGGAAGTACTGGGCGATCGTTTCGTCCTAGTATGAAACACCTCATCAGTGCGTATTCATGATCTCGTTCGCGAGATTCCAACTGAAGATATATTGGTCTGTTGTATGCAAATACTTAACCTGTAGGCTACTAAGTTGACATACAATAATGTTATTGCTTAACTTCAAGCAATTCCATTTCTACAATGCTGAATAGTGGCGGAACTTCGCACATGAGATTATTAAGTTTCAATAAAATCATAAATATGTCATGAATATCAAGAAGATAAGTAGTGTAGTGAACAAGAACACTAATGAGGACAATTAAATATATTTTAGCATAATATTACAGAACATCTTTAGGTGAGACAATAACTTATGGACGATCTTTGAGTGACGCTGAAGGCACCTTGAGAGTTTCCACCTACTTACTAGAACCACACGAGGGTTATAAACTTGTGTGTAGGGAATTAGGATTATGATTCACAGTTAATGATTAGAGGTTAGGAATTAGATTTAGGGTTGTTTTTTCATCATGAACTGACATCAACTTAAATACTGAAACTCTATTTGGCCAAATGGATGAATGAATTTCGCGCCAAAATCCTAGAGATCTGTTATCTTATATCTGATTGATTCGTCCCATTTTTCGTAAAATCTGAGAATTATACAGTAAATTCTTCATTTGCAAAAATATCCATCAATCGTTTCAAACTTGGTTGTTCTTTCGTTTTCACACCAATTATTCACTGTTCTCATTCTCTTGTCTTTAATCGGTTAGACTACAATTTATGGACGAATCATTAAGGTTAAAGATAACAAGTCTCGGATTTTGGCGTGCGATTCATGCACCTCTTTGGTCAAAGCATGCATGGAGGAAAACTGAGAGATGCATTCCAAGTAAGGACCGGAGTCAGACAAGGCTGTCTACTCTCTCCCTTGGTCTTTCTTCCGGTGGTCGACTGGATTATGAAGACCTCGTCATCTGACGGAAAACACGGAATACAATGGACAACTCAGAATCAGTTAGACGATTTGGACTTCGCAGATGACTTAGCCTTCCTATCCCATGCACACGAACAGATGCGCATGAAGACAACTCGTGTAGCAGCAGCCTTTGCATCAGTAAGCCACAACATACATAAAGGGAAAACCAAGGTCCTCAAATTCAACACGGAGAACACCAACCGTAACACTCTTGATAGCGAAACTCTGGAAGATGTAGAATCCTTCACGTGCCTGGGAAGCATCCTCTACGAACAAGGAGGATCAGATGCAGACGTAAAGGCGAGGATTGTCAAAGCAAGAGTCGGATTCTTTCACTTGAAAAACATATGGAACTCAAAAAACTGTCTGTCAACCAATATCAAAGTCACAAACTTCAATACGGACGTCAAGGTAGTTCTACTGTGTCAAGCTGAAACTACTACAACTGTCATCAAGAATGTAAAGGTATTTATAAATAGTTGTCTACGCAAGATAATCAACATTCATTGGCCGGATACCATCAGTAACAGCCTTCTATGAGAGAGAACAAACCAGCTTCCAACTGAATAAGAAATTAGGAAAAGACGATGGAAATAGATAGGACATACATTACGCAAATCACGTAACTACATCACTAGACAAGCGCTCACTTGGAATCCTGAAGGGAAGCGGAAAAGAGGAAATCTAAAGAACACATTGCGTCGGATAATAGAAGCAGATATGAAAACGATGAATTATAACTGGAAGGAGCTAGAAAAGATTGCCCAGGACAGGGTTGGATGGAGAATGCTGGTGCGCGGTCTATGCTCCTTCGCGAGGAGTAACAGGCGTAAGTAAGTAAGTAAGTAAGTAAGTAAGTAAGTAAGTAAGTAAGTAAGTAAGTAAGTAAGTAAGTAAGTAAGTAAGTAAGTAAGTAAGTAAGTAAGTAAGTAAGTAAGTAGGTAAGTAAGTAAGTAAGTAAGTAAGTAAGTAAGTAAGTAAGCAAGTAAGTAAGTAAGTAAGTAAGTAAGCAAGTAAGTAAGTAAGTAAGTAAGTAAGTAAGTAAGTAAGTAAGTAAGTAATTTGTTTAAAGAGCATTTAAGTATTTTTGACGATGTCAGTTCGTGATGAAAACCCCCTAAATCTAATTCCTAACCTTAATCATCAACTGTAAATTATAACTCTCATTTGATCCTTGTTATTAAGTGGACACTTTCAAGACCAGTCTTACGTCGCTCAAACGTCACTCAAACGTTGTTCATAAATTATAATCTCACCTATTCATCTTCTTAACCCTCTACTCTTCCAGAAATTTCATTTTCGATTAATGATACCAACTACTTATATCTATGAACATTAGTTGTACATACTACATGATAATTTATATATTTATATTTATATTGTGGATCTATAGAATGGTTACAGTCGATTAGATATTCAAGTATGAAACCTCTAACTGCTTTCCTTTCACCCTTATAGAACCAAGCTAGGATATGTGCCCGGTAGCTTTCAACTCGGATACGGGAACATATCTCAACTTGGTTCTATATAGGTGAAAGGAAAGCAGTTAGGTGTTATATTTATTACATTTATATAAAAGATAAACAATCTTGTTATCTCAATTTTATTTTGTATACAATCAAATGTATATATGTATATATTCATACAATAAGAATAGAATGGATATTTTTGTTACTATGCTTGATTATATAATCAATTATTTACAATAATAATAAGAATATGAGTAAAATTTAATGAGTTATGTAAGACAAACAAAAAAACATATACATTTTAAGGTTTCATTTATAATAATAGCGAGAGTAAGAATGAGTGAGCGAATGAGTGAGTGGGTAAGTGAGTGGGTGGGTGGGTGAAGGTTAGTGAGTGACAATGAGTGAGTGAGTGAGTGAAAGGGGGGGGGAATGGTATATTTTGAAAAGGTTACCCTGTTTTCTTAAAGTTTTTCTTTTTAAAAAAAACAGAAAAAAAACGAGAGAAAAGAAATGCACAATTATCAAATCTTACAAATACTGATTGAATAGTCATTTATTGTTTCTATTGATGTTACACAATACCCCTTTTGATAATAAACAAGTTAACCAACATATATATAGATATATATAAAGAAAATCAAACAATCCAATGTTTATTTATTATGTAATCATCAGAAAGAAGGGGTTTGTGTGTGTGTGTGTGTGTGTGTGTGGATATGATCATCATTTCAATAGGTAATATGATGAATCTATTGAAACTTGAATGTATTTTGAATAGTTAGTTTGCCCAGATTATTTAACTCTACAATTATAACTTTAGTTTAGAAATCTTGTCAATGTAATTTATCTAGAATGAAATCTCCCATTTAATCATCATATGAAACTTTCCTCTCATGTTCTCATATTCAATGGATCATTATTCATGATTGATGAATAGAGAATAAGATTAAAAGAAAAGATGTTACGTCATCGTGTTTTTTTCTGTTGTGTTTTTCTTCTTTTTTTTGTAAGTGTCATCATCATGTTGAATTAGAGGAAGAAATTGAAAATCAAAAAAAAAGAAAAAAAAAAGAAAAATCATGCCAAAAATACATTTACCACCTTAGCAACTAAACAAACAAATGAACTAAGCATGAATATCACTAAACGTCATCCAAGAAAATGATTAAAAGAAATAAACGGTTACTATGGCATATATGTATTATTATTTACTCTTAATCTATTGATTCATTCTATTCAATGGATTTATATAAATGTCTATATGAAATGTGTATTACATAATTATAATCTACTTTTTTATATGAATAGATTCAATATTAAGAAAAAAAAAGAAAAAAAGAGATGAGGAAATTTCATGTATCGTAAAGTTTTGAATGAACCGCTTGAAAATTTTTTAAAATTTATTAAAACAAATATGAGAAAGATATGAAACATTATTTAGAAGAATATATATATATATATATGTATATATATGTATATGAATTCCACCTGGAGGATGTCTGGAACTACTGCCGGTCCTAAGCTCAGATAAAAAAGAAAGGGTGGGTTGGGTATAAAGTGAGTGACTCCATCTCATATAGACTACTAACACGCTATAGAATACGCTAATTCGAAAAATACATGAATATGAATAATCTATACTGATGATAATGATGATGATGATGCTAAAGAGAAATGGTTAGTTATAGAATTCTTTGTTTGTTTACTTGTTTACAGTTGATTCATTTTTTTTTTTTTATTTATTTGTTATTGTTGATTATTTATATAATGATTGTTCTCCTTTTTTTATTCAATTGGATCATCAGCTAATAGCATAGCTTTAAGTTGACTATCTTCCATACATCCTTTCATAAATTCTTCACGTGTTAATACACCATCACCATTTTCATCCATTTTTTCAAATATTTCTTCAGCTCTAGCTTCTGGACTAATATCTACAGCTGTATTATCTGTACCAAGCATTGAATAAATAGCCTAAAATAAAGTAAATCAATAGTATATATGATAGAATGTCAAAATAGAAATGAAAATACTTTATAATGATTTTGTTCATGAATCACTTATATAATTATTATTATATCAAACCTCAATGAGGTTATGAAAAAGATGAATAACAACTGGAAAGAGCTGGAAAGCATTGCCCAGGACGTGGTTGAATGGAGAATGCTTGGGAGTGGCCTATACTCCTTTACGAGGAGTAACAGGCCTAAGGAATTAAGGAAGTAAGTCAACGAGGTTTGATATCACAAAGCAATAAGAAGCGGTAACTACAGTTTTATTAGAAGATAACATAGCTCATAAAGCGACGAACACATCGAGGGGATTTAAAATAGACAAGGGAATATGTGTATGTACGAACAAATACACAGGCAAACATATCGTCATATCACATAAGGGCATCAGTAAGGCAAAGCAAGGACTAATAATAATGGGATTCGCGTTCCTATATACTTGGAGAAGAGAATGAATCAACGAGCGATATTTAAAGGATCAACATTTGAACTAGAGTCTATCATATGATCCAGTGATCATAACAATACAAAGAAATATGTGTATTGTCTGTTAAGTAATTTAATATAAAGGGTTTAACTGAAATAAACCATAATGGAAATGGATTGCAGAAGAGTTGCTATCAATTAGATGATATGACTAATCATAAAATTAACCATACCATTCTACAATGTATATTGCGTTGTAGTGATATACACAATACTGGAGATTTCTAGCTTAGTTAAATAGCGATGAAATTGTCTAGTTCTCTAATTTGAATTTTTTAATCATGGGCTTTCATTTTCATTATTCTCTGGTAAGTGACATCGTCAGGAATGAAAGTTTCTTTTATAAATTGCCTTTATATTACTTTTGGAATAAGTAAAAATAGGAGCTAATTTCTTTTCCTAATTAGGAAGCGGATAGAACACACATTGAGGAAAGCACCCAACTACGTCACAAGACAAGCCCTCACATGGAATCCTCAAGGCCAAAGGGAAAGAGGAAGACTAAATAACAGTACGTCGAGAAAAGGAGACAGACATGAGAAGAATAAACAACAATTGGATGGAATTAGAAAAGAAGGTCCAAAACAGAGTGGGTTGGAGAATGCTGGTCGGCGGCCTATGCTCCATTAGGAGCAACAGGCGCAAGTAAGTAAGTAATTTCTTTTCCTAGGACAGAAATGAAAGCTCCACGATGAAACGATTTAGCTCAAAACTCTCAACGACCCATATACATATACTCTTGAGGAGTCTCATAATAGGATGAAACGGCCGTTCAGTGCTTCTAGATTTTCCATGGTGGCTTAACTTCAATTGAATCATGAATTCAACTAAAAAATTACTAAAATCTTCACAAAACACTCTTCTCATAATAATCATCATGTGCTTACTAGTGACTTGCTTCAAGAGGTATTTCCTGTGTGGTGCGTGCTACTTATATTGATATAAGTAGTATATAACGTGAGTCAAAAGATCGTAATGTCTGGCAGCAGAAGATGGAGAAGATCAAGAAAAGAAGAGTGAGAAAACAATGGAATTTGTAAGAAATCGCATGAACAATGAAATGCGAGACAATGGATTGATGTTTGCAAAAGCAACAGTCCGGTTTGATATGATAGAATGATATTTTGCAAATTAACGATTTACTATATAGTTTTTCTATTTTACCAAGTAATTCTGTAATTTGTCCTAATGACAATTTGGATGTCCTCACCCGTGTTCTTCTTCACTACACCTGGAGTTCTAGTGATAAGCTATGATTATTCGAGTTCAACTAGGTATTTTATGAGATAGTAACTCACAGAAGACAATGGTGGGTGGTGGCTCAGTTTTGTGGATTGGTTCAAGTTAGACATTAACATTGTGAGAGAAGACAAACAGATACTTAACTTGCTCTGGGCTTTATTGTGTGCATGAACTGTTGGTGTTTGTATTAAATGAATCTATTGTTCGATCTATACTTTATCTCTCTTTATTTTTAATCAAAAATCATGTGACTAGTGTAACGTGACCGTTGTCTACGTATAACTAATTAATCAAGTATCCAGTTTAGTGACAGTAAAATCTCCGATACAAATCATATATCCCTCGAGGCGGGATTGTAGATGCGCACTGCTGAAGTGTCCTATGATAGGACGAGTCGAACGTCCAGTGCTTCCAGGTTTTCAATAATAGTCTATTATTAATTAGCTCATGATTTCAATCAAAAAGCAAATCATATTATCGTATTATCTCAGTAAATGGAAGTATTTTCTTCGTTTGTAATTAAACTAACAACCATCATACAATAGGATATACGACAATACTAAGCTAAACTAAACCATTAAGCTTATAATGTATGTGTAATTGTTTTAGTCATGGTTCATTTATCGAAGTATGGCACGGAATAAGGAGTTAAGGTTAAAGGTATTCATCTGGATATGGTATCCGTTATGATGTAAAAATCTTGAAATTCATACCTTGATCCTAATTTCTAAAACAATAAGTTCTAAATTTATCATTACCGTCTTGTAACTGGCTGAACAGATTTAGATCACAATGTTGTTCAGCCATACAATTCATCATTGTCTATTGAAAACAAAATTTGACAGAAGTAATAAACACAACTAACTCCACCTTGAGCCGCTCTGAGGCTACCAACGGCCCCAAGTACGGATACAAGAGGAGGGTTGGGCATGGGGTTAGCGACCACATCCCGTAGGAAACTAACTCGCTAAAAAAACGCTAACCATAAAAATAAATAATTCAAACTATTGAAATTGTGCCCTGGGAATTGGAAGGTCTTCATTCAGAAGAGTTATGATGCCTCTTTGTGAAAGCTGAGTTCCTTCGGTATTCAGTAGTCTGGTTCCCCTTCTGAACATTAATTTAGATACATGGAATGTTCGTACAATATGCGAGACTGAAAGACTCTTTCATATTGCTGCAGAATAAACAGAACTATGCACAGACCCATTAGTTCTTTCAAAAAATAAAACAGAAATATCTTTCTTTAGATCAAACAGTAACCATCATGTTAGCCATACTCTAGCACTGTTGACCAATGCTTCGACGACCATGGACTTTAATAGAGATTAGTATGTGTTGATTTCCATACCAAAATCAATAAAATTGCCATTTCAATCCTAATTGATCTAAAGAGACAGTCTGGTACCATTTTTCCCTGATATCTTCTAATCAATGGGGAGAGGAGCATTTTGAGAAACTAATCTAATAGAAGATAATTCATATTTGACAAATTATGAAGTAAGCAAGTTTGTTTTAGTTTCCATAACAGCAACAATCATTGAAATGTATCCTAGGTATAGTGGATAACTTTAAGAAGGAAAATAATCTTAATATGAGTTTTCTATCCTTCAGTCGTTAAGATCATGAGTCAGTTGAAGCTAGACTACCATGGAGAACCTGGAAGTACTGGATGGCCGTTCCGTCCTATTGTGGAACTCCTCAGCAGTGCGCATCCACAACATCACCCCCTGCGAGATTCGAACCCAGGACCTACTGGTTTTGCGAGGAGCACTTCTTTTAAACTAATTGTACTAATACATTTAGATGTTGTATTACTTACATTTATTTCACTTTAACTAATCTACTTATTTCACTAATTGTGAATTACTCAAAAATACACACATATACACATACGAACATCCATAATAGATTTACACTTAAATCAAAACTTTAATCATTCAATCAAAAGATTTCAATCAACATTTTAAACAAATTTCCATGATTTATGTTTGAGGTAGTCAATTTCCCGTTGCCATTGGTTACCGACGATAGTCACTTATGCGAGAGAGAGGGGGGTGAAGATAGAATAGAAACATGAATTCCATAATCGTTTAACTATGCAATCTAAGCAAATAGATATCAACCCCTCCTTCTAATCATCTGCAGTATGATTTTCAACCTTCAGTATATTTTAATATTGGTTGTTGTTAGTGATTATCCTGTTATAAGTTGTTAAGAGAGAGAGAGAGAGAGAGGGAGGGAGAAAATTGGAGATTTTTATATGGTACAGTGAATTATTCAACTCACTTATAAGTTTTAGTTGTCATTCAAGAAGCATAGTTTATAACATCCCTATAACTGTATACATATATACTTATCAGTTTATTCAGAACAATATCCGGTTCCTGTGAATTCCCATTTATTTTTTTGATATTTTATCCAAGTATTCATTGTACTATTGTATTCTGTTCATTTTATATACATAATATAACAGGAACTTTGGAATATTTAGAAGTTGTTTGGTCAGTAATGATAATTCTCTATGTAGTTAGTTGAAGTTAGACTTTAACACTGTTGGATGCCGGCTCGCGCGCGAAACCAGTAGGTCCTGGTTCGAATCTCTTAAGGGGTGAGGTCTTGGATGAGCACTGCTGAGGAGCCCCACAATAAGACGAAACGGCCGTCCAGTGCTTCCAGGTTTTCCATGGTAGTCTAGTTTCAACTGACTCATGATCTTAACCATTGAGATATTTTGATTGTAATGAATGACATTTTGTTTATTATGTTACGTTAGCTACTTGTTAGTAGTGTTGAAATTTCTTTGTAAAAAGTTAAATATGATGGGGTTTTGTTCTATGAACTGGATTATTGATTTATATGTATACATAAATATTGGTACAAAATCGGGCACAGAATACATATACGTCACACAAGTCTCTGGATTTGTGTGTGGGCTGTGATAATGCTCGGGTACCCAGAAAAACGTAGGTGGTTTTCTTAGGAGGACACACTCGAAGCCTTCGACCTAAAGGTCTAATCCATAAGGCAGTGGAGCAATGTCAGAGGAAGGAGTCCCATGGTAGCCTGTGTCCAATCATTGGTTCATACGCCAATTGTTTTCTTAGGATCCTGGAAACCATATTCACCATTGGTTTGGAATCAGGATTTTCCATCACCACTAGGTGGACTCTCCGTATCCACCAACCCGGTTAAAGCACTAGATATTCACTTTTCGTCCTCTCAATTTCGTAAATAACGATTCTGCATTCAGAAGACAGTGAATCGGACTTCTGTGGTACTGACTGTATACGTGTGGTCATGTGAAAGCATTTGGTGAAGGACAGCCAACTCTCCCCACTTTCGACTGTACTAGGGCATTTATGGGTTTGAGCTGGCTGGTACCTGGAGGGTAACATAGAGAGAAGTTTGTGCTGGTGCTATCATTCAGAATAATAATGAAAGCTTCACAAACAAGCCGGCTACCATACCATGTTGATAGCACCGGTTCTCGTCCACAACCAAACTATCCAGTTCATAAAACAATACTCTATCAAAATCATCCACCGATGCCTAGTTATAAAAACAACTATCAGTACAAAAACAATCTAATAACAATAGAATTATAGATTCTATTTTAATAATTAACACCCACATGTTGAAATTGTCACTTGTAGTGAAAGGAATAAGTTCAATTTACACACCTACATGTATACTAGGAGTTGGGCTAGTGTTATGAGTTAGGATTATCATTCCATAGACCTTACATCATCCATCGACATTAGTTTTGATTCAGTAAGATTAGAGTTGAGGTTTTTATATTATGGTCAAAGTTTTCAATACAAACTTATACTGGGTATAATGTAATTCTTTGCCAATGAATAGTAACTGTTGAAATCTATTTCTGTACTAATACTGTAGTAAACAAGAACACAACTGGGGACAGCTGAATATATTTAACGTGAAATTACAGAGCATCTCATTGTTTATGCATTTTCATACGAATCGCGTTCCGTTCCTGTTCTTTCCTTCTTGATCTTCTACTGAGATACCTTGTATGCCTGACCACCATTATATACTACTTATGTGGATATAAGTAACCCATATCATAATACTATACATATATTTCTATTGTATAATTGTTAAGAAGCTAAACTATTCATATTCATGTTCCTCTTATTATAAGCTTTATTTTGATCTACGAACTATTATTAAACAATTTACCATTCTTAAGTTATGCACAGTCTGTTGATTACTGTCTCCCACATTCACAGCCACGTTTAGCTAGATCTTGTACAAATGTTATTATATTTTAATAGCTGAGATTATGAGTCAATTGAAGCTAGAACACAATAGAAAGCCTGGAAGAACTGGACGGCCATTTTGTCCTACTATGGAAATTCCTCAATATTGCGTATCACGAATCCACCTTGCGAGATTCCAACCCAACGCTTATCAATCACGCACGCAAGCGCTTAATCTCTGAACTGCTGAGCTGGCCGACATCAACGGTGTTAATATCTAATTGACTCATGATTTCAACTATTAAAATTACTATACTATCTAAAAACAGCCCTTCTAACAAATGTTATTTTCTATTTTATGGTGTAAGGTGATCTGTTTAGTTTGTAATATAAACCCAATATATTTGAAATATATGATTCATATTGTGGAAGCGAAGATTGGTTTTCTAGACTTAACAGGAAGGAAGCAACACCGATAAATACTCTAAACTGTTTGTTATATTTCTCACTTACGGTTATGACCCAGCTATTCCTATTGCATAATATTCTTGGACACCAAATCATTCGACAAGTCCCCAAATCAGAACACAGTTGAACAGGAAAGAGACTATATTCCAAATAACAACGTTAGATGGAAGCAAGAAGCAAGTCAGTAGTGCAATAGAGAAAACGTTAGTATATTTATAGTTTTTCACATGAGGAGATTTCTAGAGTGTTCACTAAGTATTGACTAATGCTGATTAGATAAGAATCAGCCAGATGAAAGCCAAGAAGCCCAATAGGGAAAATGTCAGTATATTTATAGTATTTACATGAGAAGATTCTAGAGTATTCTCCAACTATCGACTAGTGCTGATTGGATAAGAATTAGCCAATCAGCGTGCACTAAAGCAATCGTGCATTGAGCATACTTTAATCCAGTTTATGCCCCGCTAACACTGTTCGTACTTGTTTCATGCATTATTGACCCAATCGATAAGCTATTGTTCTCTAATTGACAATATCATTACATCATACATTGATAGGGAGCACAAACAAGTTATAACATTAGTAAATTAGTCAAGGTGAACGAAACAATAAAAGGTAAATCAGTAGTTCGGATTTTGTTTTCTTTTTTCACATCAACTCATAGGATACAAGCACATCCAGCTGATGAGTCTCAAATTGGACGAAACATGCATCAAAGTAAATTCCACTACTAGACATCATTATTCATCTTTGCTTTGAAAAAGAAAAGAAGTTTGTCACTAATGGTTATATCAAATCAATCTGTACAAGAACTTACTCGAATAATTTCAACCATTTCAGTTCGTTCTATAGTACCATTACCATCAATATCATACATTTGATAAGCCCATTCTAATTTCTCTTCTGGATCACCACCTGATGTTATATTAATAGCTAATAAAAATTCTTTAAAATCAATTCGACCAGAATTATCTTTATCGAATGTACGAAATACATGTGTACAAAATTTTTCAGCATTACCATCAGGGAAAAATCCAGAATAAACTTCAATAAATTTCTTTTTACTTAATTGACCTGATGGACAATCACGCTGTGAAAGATAAAGAAAGAAAAGTAATCAAAACAACAACAACAACAATGATGTGACTATACATGATATGAGTGTTGTTAAAGGAATAATGATGTTGTCTATCACTTCTTGGTTGTTTACACTGTGGAAGAGTTCTTCTGAAGGCAATTCTAAGTTGTAACTTTTCATTTCTACAGCAATTTGAATGATTCCCTTAATCTTCTACATTGTACAAACATTTCATGTATTTAAATTAAAATGGTTGCTCTGGTTGTCAGAATGGGAATCAGCCTCGTGAATTCCTAAGGAACTTGGCTTTCATCATGAGGCATCATAACTCTTTTAATTACCAAGGCAGAGTTTCAATAATTTGAATTATTTATTTTTCTGATTAGCGTATTTTTGGCGAGTTAGTTTTCTACAGGATGGGGTGGCTAACCACATGTCCAACCCTCCTACTTTATTGGAAAATTGGACCGATAGTAGCCACAGAGGGGCTCAAGGTGGAGTTCGTATATACACATATATATATATATATATATATATATATATCACTGTTAACCCAGATCTCTATTTTTTTAGTGATTATACAGGAGAACCATCTCATGGTAATCGAATTGATTCAAATTTGATCCTTAGTTCGTATACTTATCAGTAAGAATCATGAATTAACAACAGTTTTTATTGATTTTTTCTTGGTAGAATAAGATAAATAACTCAGATTGAATTGATTTGGAATATTGAGCAATTACATTCAAAGTTAAGAAACGACAAAAAATCCCATTAGATCTTGTTCAACTAAAGAAAGAACAACTCAGAATCGAGACTATAATTAATGGACGAACAAATCAGGTATAAGATAACAGATCTTGGATTTTGGCACGAAATTCATTCATTCATTTGGTTAAATAGTGTTTTGCCCTTATAGCTGATGTAGGCTGGACAACAAAGACTAGCTTCAGGGGAGGTGCTGTTATACTCCTAAGTATATATATATATACTGGAACTGTCGGGAATAGTAGTTTCTCTGATAGACTCCCTAATACTTAGAAGCACAATGGATAATACTGTCTGACATCTGAGTCCCAATATGAATACTAACAATGAAGTATGCTGGATCTATTCAAGTAATGAATCTTGAAAAGGACATAACATACATTGTACATTCCATTGATAATCATAATCTATCTATTGTAACTCAATAAAAAGTAGTTTCAGAGTATACGAACTGAATAAAATAATTTTTGATAAAATTTATATCAGATAAGTAGATACATATAGTTGTTTTTTCATTAGTAATCTCATTAATTATATTACTATGATATGTGCTACTGATTTCAACAGTTATAAGTAGTATATATCACCAATCGAAAGTGAAATATCTAATGTTAGAATGTTAAGAAGATTTAAGAATAGTGAATGAGAACAGAGAAATTATTGGCGTGGAAATGACAGAACAACGAAAGTCTGAGACTGGATGGTTCTTAGATTTTACTAAAAGATTATGTATAGGTATTTATAAATAGTTGTCTACGCAAGATAATCAACATCCATTAGCCGGATATCAATCAACAACAGCCTTCTGTGGGAGAGAACAAACCAATAACCAACTGAAGAGAAAATTAGGAAAGACGATGAAAATGGATAGGACATACATTACGCAAATCACCAAACTACATCACTAGACAAGCGCTTACTTGGAATCCTGAAGGGAAGAGGAAAAGAGGAAGGCCAAAGAAAACATAACGTCGGGAAATAGAATCAGATATGAAAAGGATGAATAACTGGAACTGGAAAGGATTGCTCAGGACGGGTTGGATGGAGAATGCTGGTGGGTGGCCTAAACCCTTTCCACGAGGAGTAACAGGTGCAAATAAGTAAGTAACGTAATTTTTGGTGATGAAATATATTTGGTTGTCCTTCAATTGTGTTCTTGTTCATAATATTACCAGCATATTAGTAAATAAACAAGATTCTTCAAGAGAATATATTGATTTGTTTTTTTGGTTATTATAATCGTAAACAATCTATGTATATCAGAAGGGATTTTGTGGAGATTGTAGTAATTTCAATAGTTGAGATTATGAGTCAATCGAAGCTAGACTATCATGGAAAACCTGAAAGCACTGCTAAGGAGTCCTACAATAGGACGAAATGGCCTTCCAGTGCTTCCAGGTTTTCTATGATGGTTTAGCTTCAATTGACTGATGATCTCAACTATTGAAATGTATGTATAGTTTATTAAACTGTTTATTAACTTACTTCTTATATTAGTAGTTAAGTCTTGTTTAGCATCAATAAATGATCAATAATATAATGTAAGAACTGAACTACCATGAATTGAATTGTAAAGCTTCTATCTCAATTTTGTTGTTTAGATAAATTCTAATGAAGTTAATCTAAGAAAACTCTCTTTGTAGACTATTCTGGGAATAGATGAAACACTGGAGCACATATATCCACACTTGGTATTCTCTCAAATTCTAATATTCTGAATTTGTTATGTCCCTTCTCAAATTTATTACATTGGAATATACTCCTCGAATAACATCTTCAAACCCTAATGTTTCCAATTACTGCTTATAATTTTACTATCTCTACTACTATGAGATTTGAATGGACAATTGTATCTCTGTGCTAATATGATATGACAACTTAAACTGATGTACGTATATACGAAGTTCTACGTTGATGCTGACTAACTGACTGAGATAATGAACAAAAAATAATACTCTGAGAGGTTCCATACTAGGACAAAACGGCCGTTCACTGCTTCAGGTTTTGAATGGTGGTCTTCAGTGCTGTACGAGATATGAAGGTGTTTATCACTTCCCAGTTGCTTACACCGTGGAACGGTGTTCCTGGAGGTACCTGAATAGAAAATTGGATTAAAGATGGTCTTGGTGACTCTGGATCGTAACTGCAGTGCCTAAAGACAATTGCTTGGGGTCAGTCAAACACGCCATTTTTGTAGGTAATCTTCGTGTTAGCTCCGTAATTGTTGAGACCTTACCACCGAAGATGGAAATCCATGGGATAAGGTGAGGTGAGTATTTTTACGGTCGACCTTTTTGAACTCAACCACTCCTTGTGTTGAGGCAGCATCACTGTTATTCTGGTTGTCTGAAGGAAACAGCTTACTGCCGTCAAACCTCTGTAAAGTCAACAGTACAACTTCATATCAGAACTTTGAGTTTATTACGTTTAGTCTTATCGTTCTTTAATCGACCTACCTGGCATGGTAAGACCTTGAGGAACGACTGTTCCAGTCAATTTACCTCGACTGGTTCATCACGATAGGCAAGCCCAACCATCATGTCAAGTTAGCAACAAAGGTCGGTCTAGCCTGAATCGACTCATGAACTCAAATATTATATATATATATATATATAACTGTTACACGATCATATCTATTGCTATAGAGTTTGACTTTCATAGAGAATGGAGAAACCCTCTTCAAAATCCCTACTTTTCCCTTATATTTGATCTCGCTCTGTTATTCATAAGTGTTTTATATTTGATTAGAAACCTAATCTGTCTGGTTGACATACATTGTATTATATGACATAATAAGAATCGCTCAGTCGTTTGGAATTCGGAATTATTGTAGGCTAATCACAAGGTTAGTGAATGTGAACACAAGTGGGGACATAAAATCAAGCATAAATTTACAGAATCTCTTACTAATATTTGAGAACCATACAGTGAATACTTCATTTGCAAAATGTCTATCAATCGTGTCAAACTTGACTGTTCCATTTGCAAATATCAGTCCATCGTCTCAGACTTCATTGTTCCTGGTATTTCCATACCAATTGCTATCTGTTCTTATTCTTTCCTCCTTGATCTTCTTGAGCTTCTGTTGCCAGATATTTCATTCATGACTAGTGTTATATACTACTTATGTCGATATAAGTAGCATACACCACATTAGTAATACATATGAAAGTACTTTCATACACATAGTTGGCTAGACACTATCAGTAACAACCTGCTGTGGGAGAGAACAAACCAGATCTCAGTTGAGGAAGAAATCTGGAAGAAGCTCTGGAAGTGAATAGGGCACACATTGAGGAAAGCATCCAACTACGTCATAAGGCAAGACCAAAAGAGAAGAGGAAGAAGAACAATGAACACATTACTTCGGGAAATGGAGATCGACATACGAAAAAATGAACACCAGTTGGACAGAGTGGGTTGGAGAATGCTGGTCGACAGCTTATACTCCATTGAGAGTAACAGGCGTAAGTAAGTAAGTAAGTAAGTAAGGTAAGTAAGTAAGTAAGTAAGTAAGTAAGTAAGTAAGTAAGTAAGTAAGTAAGTAAGTAAGTAAGTAAGTAAGTAAGTAAGTAAGTAAGTAAGTAAGTAAGTAAGTAAGTAAGTAAGTAAGTAAGTAAGTAAGTAAGTAAGTAAGTAAGTAAGTAAGTAAGTAAGTAAGTAAGTAAGTAAGTAAGTAAGTAAGTAAGTAAGTAAGTAAGTAAGTAAGTAAGTAAGTAAGTAAGTAAGTAAGTAAGTAAGTAAGTAAGTAAGTAAGTAAGTAAGTAAGTAAGTAAGTAAGTAAGTAAGTAAGTAAGTAAGTAAGTAAGTAAGTAAGTAAGTAAGTAAGTAAGTAAGTAAGTAAGTAAGTAAGTAAGTAAGTAAGTAAGTAAGTAAGTAAGTAAGTAAGTAAGTAAGTAAGTAAGTAAGTAAGTAAGTAAGTAAGTAAGTAAGTAAGTAAGTAAGTAAGTAAGTAAGTAAGTAAGTAAGTAAGTAAGTAAGTAAGTAAGTAAGTAAGTAAGTAAGTAAGTAAGTAAGTAAGTAAGTAAGTAAGTAAGTAAGTAAGTAAGTAAGTAAGTAAGTAAGTAAGTAAGTAAGTAAGTAAGTAAGTAAGTAAGTAAGTAAGTAAGTAAGTAAGTAAGTAAGTAAGTAAGTAAGTAAGTAAGTAAGTAAGTAAGTAAGTAAGTAAGTAAGTAAGTAAGTAAGTAAGTAAGTAAGTGTGAAGTAAGTAAGTAAGTAAGTAAGTAAGTAAGTAAGTAAGTAAGTAAGTAAGTAAGTAAGTCAGTTAGTAACCATAGTAAAAATGATTACTATTAAGTAAATTACTTAAAAAGAACTCAATATTTTATTCCATATTTAATGGTTTATAAACTGTTTCACATCAAAAATTAAACATTAAACTTTCCCCCCCTTCACCCTCAGTCTTTTATTGTTTCTAAAAATAGTATGGTAAAAACTGAGATACTGAAACTGAGTACTACTAGTACTACTACTACTACTACTACTACTACTAATAATAATAATAATAATAATAATAATAACGCTTTGATTTTTTCCTATTCCACTCAATCTAATATTCTATTGCAAACTCTATATACATTAGGCATTGGGTAATATCTACTCTTTCCTACTTGTTTCATTCAACATCAATTTATGCAATTTAAGTATCCATGATTGTCTGTATATGTGTATCCATGTAGAAGTAGTTATGTATGCGTATGTGTGTATGTGTGTGTCTCTGTGTGTGGATATATGTGGGGATATAAGATTTCAATCAGTAGGGTTAGGTATATTGTAATATGTAATAATAAAAAAATGCCAAATTCTTTTTTTTTTTTTCTGTTTTTTTTATACAGTAACTTGTCCACCGGAAATGGTTGTTACTACTCTCACTATATACATATATATGTATATATAGTAAGATTTAATTACTTACTACTTAGATAAAGTACATAAAGTAGTATATCCAAATGACATAAATAACAAAGAATAAACAACATTAATGGATGAAATATATTGTATCTCAGCAACAACAACAACAACAACAAAACAAGAAAAATCGATAAAACGTATAAAATTTAGGGGAAATTTTGTATTCTATTCTACTCAGTAACTAATCTACTCAATTAGTTATTTATTATAATGAAAAAAAATTCCACTTAAGTTGTGTTTTTTTTTTAAAAAATATTTTTAATGAATAATAATAAATAATGAGATAGATAAATGAATAAGGAAATGATTCAATGAACAGATTAGTTAATTGATTGATAGAAGATTGTTCATTTGTAAAGGAATAACCATATTGTTGTTGTGGTGGTGATGGTGATGGTGGTGGTGGTGGTGGTTGATGTTGTTGTTGTTGATGAAATCAACCATAAAATGTCATATGATTTGAAGTATTTATGATTATTATCTTTTATCTTTTTTGTTTTACCGACTAGGTTGATTGTTGTTAAGGGATATTGTTTTATGATTGAAATCAAAAAAGAAAAGAAAAAAAAGAGTAATATAATTGTGTCACCTGACAACATACGCCCTTCATTGGAGATGAGGGAATGGGTTGGGGTAAAGAAGAAGTAAACAGCTATTTTTCCAATAGTATATAATTAAATAATGTCTATGGTTAAATTTATTTGGTGTTGTTTTACTTGTGTTTTTCATTGTTATTTAGGATTTGGTATATATGCATCTTATTAGCTTTATGGCTAAATGGCTATTTAGAGCTGAAGGTCTCATATGAGGCTGGAGGTTCGCCATTGTTATTGTGGACGGTTCGGCATTGCTTTGGCAAGTTTTGCTGACTGTTCATGCAAAAATTGGTTTGCTGGTTAACCGATTTCATTCATACTGGTGGTTGCTTTTCAGTGTTCCCGAGGGCCATTGTCATTGGGACATTGTAAGGCATGCCGCCATTGCTAATATTAACGAGTTTGACTGTCGTGTAAGCGGAATAGGTCAACTTTGGCCTGTTCGTGCTGTGCATAATTGATTCACGCGATCATTGATCGGAATAACTATACATGTGATGTGAGCGTGTATATGAATGGTGCGAATGGTCCACCAGGGTGCTTGGTACCTGTGTGGTTGCGCCACAGGATTGAGCTGTACTATTCAGATTGTAGCGTTAAAGCCTGTACGGTGTCTGGTTCCTCCGCTAAACGGGGTTGAGCTGTACTGTTTGGGTTTTTGCGTGAAAGTCTGGATGGTGTCTGGTTCTCCTGAAAACCAATGTAAAATTACCCTGGCCCACAAGGGTATATTATATAACTGTGAACAAACTGGTTGATCCTGCCAGTAGTCATATGCTTGTCTCAGAGATTAAGCCATGCATGTCTAAGTACATACCTTAAAACGGTGAAACCGCGAATGGCTCATTAAATCAGCTATGGTTCCTTAGATCGTAAATACTACATGGATAACTGTAGTAATTCTAGAGCTAATACATGCCTTGAATATATGCATCTTGTGCAGATTGTTTCGATATAGCCTTAAGTCACAAGGTTTATTAAGCAAAGATGGATAGTGGCTAGTAGTGAAATTCAGGACATGCGTTTCGTCCTATTTGAGACTCGTCAGCTGGATGTACCTATACTATAGAGTTGATGTTCACTATGAGATTCGAACCCAGTACTGTCTGTGTTTATTATTAGTCAATTACGGAATAGGAATGTATTACTGTTGTTAAAAGATTGATGTAAAACACAGAAAAGAACATACATACATTGTTTCCTAGTATCTAATCTCCTGATATGAATGAATATGTTAACATTATGTTCCATTTTAACAAGTTGAATAGTCATTAGAAATGAAATCCAGTAATTAATTAGGTTTTGTCAGTTAAATGTATTTATCTCTTTAAAAATTAAAAGAACTTGACAACCTATTTGAATATCTAGACTATATATTCCTACCATCTAGACCTTCCAATCAGTTTACTGTTTCTTTGTTTGTCTTAATAGATCATTATGTCAATCAATCGTATAACTTATTGTGGTTTGTTTCTAAAATGTATACAACTTTTCATTATTGAAGTTATAATGATGGCCAATCACAGATATTGTGGTTACTAGTAATATACAACGAAATGAATGTACATTATTTAGATATTGATTGACTGAACTGCTAACATCTAAACTAATAATCAATCAATATTTATCATTAGGATCAATCAAGAGGTACAAAATGAAAACTCTCTGAAGTATTATATATTGACTCATGATCTCAACTGTTGAAATTACTACAATCTTCATAAAACCCCTCCTGATACTAATCAACATATGCTCATAAGTGACTGGCTTCAAGAAATGTAACCTGGAGTTCTAGTGAGAAGCAGTGACCAGTGGAGTTCAACCGGATCAGTTGTGAGGTAGTAACTCACTGAAGACAATGGTGGATGTGTCGCTCAATTCCGTGGATTAGTTGAAGCTAGAAATTAATACCGTTGGATGCCGACTCAGTGATCTAGTTGGTTAAGCGCCTGACGCGAGACTGATAGGTCCTGCGCTCGAATCCTGCCAGGCGGGGTCATGGATGCGCACTACTGAGGAGTCCCACAATAGGACGAGGCGGCCATCCAGTGCTTCCAGGTTTTCCATGCTGGTCTACCTTCAATTGGCTCATGATCTCAACTGTTGAAATTACTACAATCTCCATAAAACCCCTTCTGATGCTTGTAAGTAAAGCCTATAGGTGAACTTGAGGAAGCTCTAATAAGCTCAGAACTAGCCAAAAATACTTCTTATAAACGTCTTTGAAAAGAATATTCCCTATTGAACAAATGTTAATAATGGATTAGAGGACTATAATAATGATTCGCTTCTTCCTGTTCTATACTTAAGAGAATGATCCTGACATTCAATTGCTCAAGTTTTATCAAATAATCTAAGCTCGAAATATAATAATGCCAAACATGTATTACTGAATTAAGGCCCCCAAGTGCCGTGGTACGCCCGAGAGTGACGTGGGCCCGCCCCCCTTCTCGAGATGCTCTCATACGGCCACGCGTATACAGCCTCTGCCAGGGAAGTCCTACTCATTGCCTTCTCGTGGTGGGGGTGTTGTTTACGAAATTGAGAAAACAAAAAGCGAATATCCGGCGCATTAACCGGATCCCAAACCAATGGTGTACATGGGTTCCAGTATCCTGAAGGAACAAATGGCGTATGAACCAATCGTTGGTCACCGGTTACCATGGGAGTACATCTCCTCACGATGCTCCACTGCCTTGTTGGTTAGACCTTTAGGTCAAAGGCTCGTGGAGTGGCCCCCTAAGAGAACCACCTGCTTCAGTTTGGGCACCCGATCAGTATCACAGCCCACACACACATATGATGAACTGAATAAAGCCATTCATGAACATAATAATAATAATAGTAGTATATAAACACTTACTATAAATCCATTATACCATTGTTTAATTTGTCGTTTAGTAAAATGTGTATTCTCTTTAAGAAATGTTAAATCTTCTCTTGATAATTTTTTTCTTGGTCCAACAAAATTTCCCATAATTTTAATTTAATAAAACAATCTATTCAAATAAAAGAAAAAAAAGAAGAAGAAAAAGTAAAAGAAGAAAATGATCATTGAAATGATACATTTCATTTATGTAAACAAAAGAAATAAGCGGTAAGATTACTGTTTATGAATGAACCAATTAGATTTAAGATAATATGTCTTAAATTTTAAGCGCGAAATTCATTTAGTTAAATAACGATTGAGACTATAATATATAGATGACCTTTGAGCAATGATAAAATAACCTTCAGTGTGTTTATCTAATAACTAGGATCAAATAAAGATAATGGCAGTGAATCATGGCCGGTAAGAGTATAGGATATTCGTAGGTTACTAGTATTTGATCATAAGTATCTTCGAAGCATTGCTCGTATATCCTGGGACCATCGAGTAAGTAACACAGTTGTTAGGGAACGGGTACTAGGTAAGGATGGCAAATCCATTGACGAACTAATGAAACATGATCAGTTGAGATAACTGGGATAGGTGTTACGTATGCACAACCACCGACTGCCCCGACATGCGATGTTCAGTGGTATAGGAGTAGGTTGAAAGAAAGCTAGGGGCGACCAGAACAAAACATCGCACAAATTTATGAAGTCATTGACAAGTGGATTGAGCCATGTCGGTAGGTGTAGACTACCTGGTTGGGGACATCGAGATGATAGAAACCGATAGTTAGAGACCTTGAATGACATGGTTTAAAATCGTTTGCCATGACACAGGTGCATCCACTCATTGTGTCCTCGCAAATTCTAATCTTCTGTATTCTTTATGTCCCTTTTCTTTCCTCCTTCCAAATTTATTTCACTGTATTATACTCCTTGAATAACATCTTCAAACCATAATCTTTCCGATTACTGCTTATACTCTTACTACCTCTAGTACTATGGGATTTGAATCGACAATTGTATCTCTGTGCTAATGTGATATGGCAACTCGAACTGATGTACGTACGTACGAAGTTCTACGTTGTTATTGACTGACTGACTGTATATTTAATGGTCAAGGTTAGGAATTAGATTTAGGGTTTTCATCATAAACTGAGATTATCTTAAATGTCAAGACGCTATTTAGCCAAACTTACGAATGAATACTAAGCCAAAATCCGAGACCTGTTATCTTATACGTAATTGGTTCGTCCAATAAATCATAGTCTTGCCATTGGCATTATAGCTAATATCAGTTCGTGATGAGTATAATTCTTAATCATTAACCGTTAGTTTATAACCCTCATTTAATTCCTAATAAGTAGATGGACATTCTCAAGGTCATTCTAGCGTCACTCAAAGGTCCTCCATAAATTGTAGTCTCATCGGGTTATTGAACATTTACATTGTTTCAGTATGAAATACAAGAGTGATAAACACACACATACACAAACAAACACACATAATACACAGGTCAAATCACTGTAAATATCATTCATAAGTTAAATCTATCTCCGTTATCATCTTTCGAGAAATAAACTATATTCGTGTATTCAGTAGGAGCTTCTCAGGTTATAATGGGTGGTCATAAATGGTACAGTTTGTTTGTGCGAGAAGTGAAATAGCCATCATCAGTAAAACTGGATAAAGGATGAGTTAGATTGTAAATCATTTGAATTTTAGTAGCTCTCAAGTGCCTTGGTACGGCTGAGAGTAGGGAGAGTAAGGTCTCCCTTGAGAAATGCTCTCAAATGCCCACGTGCATACAACCACTACCAAGGGAGTCCTGCTCACTGCATTAGTGTTGATTACGAAATTGAGGAGACAAAAAGCGAATGTCAGGCGCTTTAACCGGGTTGGTGGATATGGAGGTTCCACCTAGAAGAGTTGCAAAACGCTCAATCCAAACCAATGGTACACAACGGCTCCACGATCCTGATGGGACAAAAGGAGTATGAACCTATTGTTGGTCACCGAATACCATGTGGATGTATCTCCTTATGTTGCTCTACTGCCTTGTAGATTAGATGTTTAGGTCGAAGGCTTCGAGTGTGACTCCCTAAGAAAACCAGTTACTTTGGTTTGGACACTCGGTCAGTATCTCACCCTCACAAAAATCGAATGATTTATGTGGCACATATCTATTTAGTACCTTCTATTAGTAATGTTCGTGTGTTTGAATAAATAAACAAATAAATAGAAGCGCATACTATTGAATTTCAGCTTTATAGCCTAGATTTTAAAAAGTCATTACGTGATATGAACATTCTAGGTTCGATCAATGATTAAGTTTTGAATGTGTACTGATAAGGACTTTTACACTGAGGTCAAACCTGTCTGCAATGCTTTCTGGTTTTAAATGGGTCTTTAGATTCATTTCATCCTTGGTGAATACAAAATCTAATATAAACGAATCTTTACTTAATTCCACCTATCAATATAAGTAATCCTTGATATCTGTATTTCAATCAACTTCTAGATTTATTTACTTGGATTACTTTTCCTGGTTAGCGTTTTTTGTAGTGAGTTAGTTTTCTATGAGATGGGTTTGCTAACTCCATGTGCCTAACAGTTCTCTTTCATCCAGGCTTGAGACCGACAGTAACCTCAGAGGGTTTCCATGCAGAGTTTTACAGATTAATAAATGCACTCATATATTCATATTTTGTGTTAAAAGGTACTGAATGTTAAATTAGTAATGTGATGTGTGCTACTGATATTGACAGATATAAGTAGTAGTCGAAAGTGAAATACCTGGAGGCAGAAAGTTAAGAAAATCAAAGAAAAGAGAACGACAATAGAGAGTGGTTGATGTGGAAACAAAACAACAATGAAGTATGAGACAATTGAATGACATTACTAGATGGTTCTCATATTTTACTAAGAGATTCTGTAATTTTGTCCCCCCCCCCTCATTTGTGTTCTCATTCACTACAATAGTAGGCTTTTGAATAAATATTCATCACAAAACTAGAATTTTCTAGGTTCAGTCCTTAGGCAGGGTTGTACTTCTGTGGAGACCTATACTAGAGTAAAACACCTAATCTCAATGCTTGATGGTTTTGAATGGCCTCTCAACTGAAATCAATCTATAACAAACATAATTTACAGATTAAATTAATCGATACAGAAACTACTTAATAAAAGATTTCAGTAGACATAATAATCACAAGGCAATACTTCCCTTTATTAAGATTTCGGCTACCATTTCCTTGAATTAAATAAATACTATTCCAATATTTTTTGGTGGGGAGGGGGAGAAGTATGGGGGGGGAATTGACAACTAAACTAACCATAAAGTACCATAAAATAACAATCTATCATTGTCTAATTCATTTCCTTTTAAACATTGATATCATTTATACATAATATACTATGAGTTATTTCTTATATCTCTTAGGTATTCTATTCTATATAATTAAGGTTATAACTTTTAATAAATAACTCCGCCTGTAGCTCTTTTAGAGTTACTGACGGTTCCAAGCTCGGGTAAGGAAGCAGGAGGGTTAGGCCTCATCCTGTAGGAAACTATCTCGCTAAAACAAACGCTAACTAGAAAAAAATAATTCTGTCAACTTTTACTGACATAGAAATCATTAGCAATAATAGTTATTGTTCTAGAAAGTAGACCGGAAATATTAATTACAATTGATTCACTTTATTATGTAATATGAAATTACATTGATTGATTCTATACATATATATGTGTTGTTGTTGTTGTTTTATTGATATGTTATTGAGTTAGAAAAAGCTTTTGTCTGAGAATCTCGCTCGCAGGATTCGAACCCAGCGTGTTCGGTCTCCAGTGTAGATAGGAGGACATTATGGAAACTTCTTCGACATTACGGAGTTCTTGAGAAGATTATTAACATTATCCGGAACTCATAAGACGGACTACACTGCAAGGTCGTGCATGGAGGACAGCTAATAGATGCATTTCAAGTAAGGATCGGAGTCAGATAAGGCTGTCTACTCTCTCCCTTGGTCTTTCTTCTGGTGGTCCACTGGATTATGAAAACTGTGACATCTGAGGGAAAACACAGCATACAATGGAAAGCTCAGAACCAATTAGACGATTTGGACTTCGCAGATGACTTAGCCTTCCTATCCCATACACACGAACAGATGCGCATGAAGACAACTCGTGTAGCAGCAGTCTCTGCATCAGTAGGCCTCAACATGCACAAAGGGAAAACCAAGGTCCTCAAATTCAACACAGAGAAACACAAACCCAAACAAACTTCATGGCGAAACTCTGGAAGATGTAGAATCCTTCACATACCTGGTAAGCATCATCGATGAACAAGGAGGATCAGATGCAGCACGTAAAGGCGAGGATTGGCAAAGCAAAGGCCGCATTCCTACGATGAAGAACATATTGAACCTAAAAAAACTGTCTGTCAACCAACATCAAAGTCACAAACTTCAATACGAACGCCAAGACAGTTCTACTGTCTGAAGCTGAAACTACTACAACCATCATCAAGAAAGTACAAGTATTTATAAATAGTTGTCTACGCATGATAATCAACATCCATTGACCGGATACCATCAGCAACAGCCTTTTGTGGTAGAGAACAAACCAGCTTCTAGCTAAAGAGGAAAATAGGAAAAGACGACGGAAATGGATAGGAAATACATTACGCAAATAATCGAACTGCATCACGAAGCAAGCCCTAACTTGGAATCCTGAAGGGAAACTGAAAAGAGGAAGTCCAAAGAACACATTACGTCGGTAAATAGAGGCAGATATGAAAAGGGTGAATAGGAACTGGAAAGAGCTGGAAAGAATTGTACAGGACAGGGTTGAATGGAAAATGCTGGTGAGCGGCTTTTGCTCCTTCACGAAGAGTACAGGCGTAATTAAGTAAGTTAGTGTTTGGTCTCATATACGAACGCTTAATCTTTAGACCATTCAGTTGATATAGAACGGTGTTATTGTCTAACCTCAACTAATCCACGAAATTGAACACCTTTTACATTGTACTAAGATAGATACCTGTCTCTACCTGATATGGATTAATTTACTGGTTATGATTTCTCACTAGCATTCTGAGCATT